TGTCCTCATTTGTAAGTCGCTTTGGATAAAAGCATCTGCTAAATGACTACATGTAAATGTAAATTAGTATTTTATATAACCAAGTGTGAACGTACGTTTTTCCCAAATCGTTCAACCCCTAAAGGATGATTTGTGCTCAAAAAACAAAGTCTTCAAAGTAAAAGTCTTTTTTTTTTTTCTATGCAGATCAACATCCCATCGAAATCATCCCAATCATTCAAGAATGATTCATTCTTTCCAAATATGGCTATTCAGGTCATTTGGTGAAATCTTTCACATGGAAATATACAGTATGTTACATAAAAACTAAATATTGCAATCTTAGGTTTTTCCAATATCGTACAGCTCTAGTTTTCAGTATTTGGTCTTTAGGAATTATATGATTTATTGTTGCATGTGCTGGATTTGATTTCTGCAGCAGCAGTGCTTTAGATGGATTTAGACCTTGTTAGAGAGGGTTTTAACCATGCTGACAGTAATCGTTACTGTGGGACTGTTAGCATGCTGTCAGCACACTAAAACCCCTCAGAGAAGACCCTAAATGTTTCCCTCACTAAACAATAACGCTGAAAACACTAGTCAACTTCACTAATTGGCTAACCAGTAGTCAGTTAGTAGACCATCTCTAGTACTCTGTGTCAGCGGTCTCTTGTTGTAGCCGTCTCTCTCCTCTGGGCGAGTCACTCAGTTTCATCTTACATGAACGTCCAGTTATTGGAAATGTGAAACTGTTCCTGGTTAAAAGTGCGGGATGAGTCACAGCGGGACATGCTGAACCGGCCGCGCATGAGTCTGCAGAAATGAGACGAGCCTTCGACATTGGTCTGATGACGCAGGGCTTTGAGTCGAGTGTAGGACACTCCTAATGTGTGCTGTTCCCTAAACGCTAATCTCTCTATCCACTCATCCTGTAATCTAGTGACTCACCAGAACACACTTGAAGAAACTGTCATCATACTGATCGCAGTTTCATGTTTTTCACAGAGCCTTGGGAATTTACATCATGATGCAGCTTTGCTCAAAGTTAGGCGAAAACTGCCAAGATTTGTAATAAAAAAAAAAGTTTATTGTTTGAAAGTGAAGAAATTAAGATTGTAATTTTAGTCTTACTATAAAATAAGATTATTTTTAGTATTTTAGTATATTTACTGTACAAAATAGGGATGGAAAGATTACCGGTTTCACGATAAATCATGATAACATGCCCTGACGGTTAGTATTATCGTTTAAAATTTAATTATCATCAAAACCGTGTTTGATTAAAGCAATTTTGAAAACTCGCGGTAAATCCAGTCCAGCCAGCATCAGTCTGACGCAGAAGCAGCATGCAATGTTGTTGTTTTTTTTGCACAAGACGAAATGGCGGAAGGCAGTGACAGCGCTCTGGAGATTTTTCAGCCGTCTAAGAGGACCAAATCGGAGATCTGGTCGTATTTTGGCTTTTACAAGAGTCCTGAAGGCAATTTAATCGAGGACGGTCACCCTGTCTGCCGATCTTGCAAGAAGAAAGTCGCTGCAAAAGGGGGAAACGCGTCAAATTTGCACATCTTCGTGACCACCACCCACTGTTATATAGCGAATGCAAGGTAACTTTTACCTCAATACCAAAACTAACTGGGCAAATAATTGGACAAAAAATATTGATTAGATATTAAATATTTAATTATCTCTCTTGTACGCAAAGCTTCCGCGTCACCTGAACTAACAACTTTTGTTCATTTAAAATGTGTATTAAAATATATATATATATATATATATATATACGTGATTTATTATTATTATTATTATTAGGGCTTCATGTTAATGTTAATTTAATGTTTATGCTTATGTGCCTATAGCTGCTAATTGTGTTTGTTTGTTGATTTTCAAATATACAACTTATTGAAATGTTTTCAGTGTGTTTATCAGTTCTTCTTGAACATTTTCATCTCATGTTAACAAAACCGTGATAATATTGATAACTGTGATAACGTTGTGCATTATAATTGTGATATTAAATTTTCATACCGTTACATCCCTAGTACAAAAGTATTATTGCAATATATTTATTATATTATTTGCAATATATTTATTATTTTGTTTGATATATTTGAATGCCAACAAACCACAAAAGTAAAAAAAAAACAATAATTTAATGTTTGAAAAGGAAGAAATTAAGACTTAAATATTAGAATTGTAATTTTACAGACTTAATTGTAGTATTTTTATTAAGTACTCTATTTTACAGTACAATAGTGTTTATTGCAATATATTATTTTTTTTGACATTTTCATTTAATAATAATCACACTGCTACAGCCGGCTCTTAGGCTACAACAAAGAGGAGTCCAGACGCAACAATACTTAACAAAACATTTATTTTAACACAACAAAATATAACATAAATGTAGCATAAACGAAGGAACGAGCCAGCGTCGGCTGGGACACACAGCACGACACGGACCGTCGAGCTCCACGCAGGAGACGATCTCCCAAACCACACGCTCCGCACCAACACACCAGGCACTCTTAAACTCTGCATCCAACAAGTGTCAGGTGTGCGAGCCACACCCCCTCCAAGCGGCACCTAAAACACACACCCCACAAGTGCACGCACAGCCTAAACTGGGACGTCACACACACACACACTAAAAAAAACTCTTATTTTTAATACAAATGCATTGCACAGTACATAACCATGTTGTCATGATTATATATGTATAATGCAGTGAATTAAATATTTTAAATATGTTTGTATGCCAACAAATCGCCAAAATGAAAAAAAAGTTTTAATGTTTGAAAGTGAAGAAATTGAGACTTAAATATTGGTATTGTAATTTTAGTCTTACTGTTAAACCCAATTATTTGTAGTATTTTCATTAAATACTCAATTATTTATTTTACAGTACAGTAGTATTATTGCAATATATTTATTATTTTGCTCAATATGTTTGTATGCCAACAAACTGTCAAAATAAAGAAATTAAGACGTAAATATTAGTATTGTAATTGGCTTGATTGTTTGTTACAGTACAATAGTATTATTGCAATATTTATTTTGTTTGATATATTTTTATTTAATAACGATCATAATAAAAGTAATTATTCTAAAGTTGTATCACAGTAGTGATTTTAAATCATGATATAGTTATTTTGCTCAAAATTGCATTGCACAGTAAATGGTCATTTCGTCATAACTGTATTTCTATAATGCAGTGAATTAAATACTTTACAAATGGTGCTTCATCTCATTTGATCGTTATTTTAGTTTTTATTTGTATGCTGACAAACCGCCAAAATAAAAATACAAAAAACTTGAAAATGTAGACATTGAGGCTTAAATATTAGTATTTTAAATTTTAGTCTTTATTTTTAGTATTTTTTATTAAATACTTGATTTATTTTACTGTACAATGGTATTTATGGCAATATATTTATTATTTAGTTTATCTTATAATTACACACAACTATAAAAAATTTTTTTTTTATCGCAGTAGTAATTTTATATCAGTACAGTTAATTTACTCGCAATTAGTCAATGCATTTTACAGTAAATAACCGTGTGGTCACGTATAATACAGTAATGCACTGCGAACTATTTGAAAATACTTGACAAATGAAAGGTGCTTCATCTTTTGATAATTTTCTGTTTTTATTAAAAACTTGATGGGCTCATATTAAAATGAATGAATCAGTCTGACTTCAGAGTAAAAACAGATTCACATCATGAAACACGAGTTCAAAACAAAAGAAAACCAGGATATAGAATAGAAATGGAATAGAATATTTGCTCTATTTTCACTTTTGTTGTACTCGTGTGTGTAAATAATATAAAGCAGTCCTGACACACATCGGCCCGTCTCAGTGACGTCTTCATCTCAGACTTTGGACTTGATGAATCTGTTATGATGTTGAAGTGTTTTCACTTCATCTGCTCAAAGGCCGTTTGACGTCAGGCTGAAACCAGTTCAGATTCAGTTATGGGTTCATCCAGTAGATGGCGCGTTTGTCTCATCAGGAGAAATGATGAAGGGCTAAACTGGTTCTAACAGTTTAAGCAATAACACTGTTTTTTCCATTTCATTACTAATGATCATAACAGTGGGGTTTTCTTTCTGATAGCATAAGTTTTTATTTGCCCTGCCAACATGTTGACCTGCATTACCACAAGTTTTTGTGCCAGGAAAAAAAAAAGAGATTAAATGTGTAGAATAATATACATTTATTTTGCATTAATAGCTAGAAAAAAAAAAAGTATCAATTAAGAGAAGTTTCTTCTTAGTAAGACAAATTAACAGACTTAAATTCATTCAAATTTCAAATTTATTTTTGTGCATTTTTATTCAGTTATTTATATAATTATAACCTTTAAAAATTATTACAAATTAATAAACCTCAACAGTTCTATGTAAAGAATTACCGACTTTCAATCTTATTTTTGTACAACTGAGATGTTATAGTTTTTGTTAACATTTTGATGTAGTTTTTATTTGTATATTTTCATTTTCATTTTGTAACTAAAATGTTGTAGTAATTTCTAAATGTTCTAGTTTTAGTAAACTAGTCTTTTTTTTTTTTTTGCCATTTGTAGTTTTTTCTTTCATGTGTCTGTATAGTTTTTATTAATTTTATTTCTTTTTTTAGTTTTCGTTATTTTAGTACATTTTGTACATTTTGTAACCAGCTGAATTAAAAGTTTTTTCTTTTTATTTTATATTTTAATTTAATTCCATGTAATTTTTATTTTATTTCATGAGTTCAAAATGGATTTAGTTTTAATTCTAGTTTAAGTTAAATATAATAACCCTGATAAATAAATATAGCTTCAAAGCATATTTGTGACCCTGCAGCACAAAAGCAGTGTTAAGTCGCTGGGGGATATTTGTAGCAATAGCCAACAATACATTGTATGGGTCAAAATTATAGATTTTTCTTTTATGCCAAAAATCATTAGGATATTAAGTAAAGATCATGTTCCATGAAGATATTTTGTAAATTTCCTACCGTAAATATATCAAAACTTAATTTCTGATTAGTAATATGCATTGCTAAGAACTTCATTTGAACAACTTTAAAGATGATTTTCTCAATATTTTGATTTTTTTGCACCCTCAGATTCCAGATTTTCAAATAGTTGTATCTCAGCCAAATATTGTCAATGGAAAGCTTATTTATTTAGCTTTCAGACGATGTATACATCTCAATTTGGTGTTGCATCATAAAAGCATTTGGAGGCATGCACAGCCTTTTATAAAGTGCCTAGAAGAAAATCGCTGGCTTTTAATGAGCAAAAACAGCTATAAATGCTACAGCTAGTATGTAACTCTCCAGCTCTGATTCGGTGAAGTAGTGAGCTGTTTGACTGATGAGATGCAGCTCCTGAACTTCCTCTTCCTGTGTGTGTTGTAGGTGGTGGAGGACGGATACGAGTTCTTCGCCAAGCGGCAGCTGGTGACTCTGTTCTCAGCACCGAACTACTGCGGAGAGTTCGACAACGCCGGAGCCATGATGAGCGTCGACGAGACCCTCATGTGCTCCTTTCAGGTGCGTTATAGTCATAATTCTCCTCCAGTCCTGCTCGAGATCTAAATCAGCTTTGGATTTTAACCTTGAGCGTGCAGTTAGTTGCCATATACTCCATCCAAAACCGTTTGAAACAACATTTTACTTTTTTTTATATATATATATATATATATATATATTATGCTGCATCAAGTTTTTATGAAATTATTTGAGACATCATGGAATATTATGTTTCTAGGGATTTGTTTAATTATTGTTATAAATAATATTTATAATTATTTTATTATTTAATAATTATTTTGTATTTAAATAGTCATTTTTAGTGAGTGTGTGTGTGTGTGTATATATATATATATATATATGACAAAAAGATGATTCAAACTCATGAGAAACACAAGGAAATGACCTGTAAAATCAGTGTTATTTAGATCGATTCAGGTGTTTAATCTGACGTGTTGATTTCTGCTCCTGCAGATTTTGAAGCCAGCAGAGAAGAAGAAACCAAACTCCAGTCGTCCAGTGACTCCGCCCAGGAACACAGTCCCCAAACAGGCCAAGAAATGATTCCCGCGGGGCCCGGCTGGACTTGTATCATACGCTCTTTCATGTGTTTCGGATCAGGAGTGGCTCTGCGCCGGATGAACCGCCCTCTGCGTCTTTATTTCGATTCTTTACGTTGTTTTTCCTTGTTTACCGTCCCGAGCTGCCGCTCACGTATTAGAGGGGAGCGTTTTAATTTCACTTGATTTCAGAGACAAACAGCTTTTTATTCCCACTTCAGGACGACGTATCAGTTTGACACAAGCTCCGCCCACCGTAACCACGGCAACAGCGCATTTAAACGCAAGGCAGAACGTGGCGTCTGGATTTTTAAATCGACACGTTTAAGATGATCTGTGCTCCCGATCTCTCGTTCAAACCACTGTGAACAAACGAGTCTGTTTTTATGCACCTGATGCTTTTTTGTATTTTCGTCTCGTGAATGTGCCATGAGGGTTGACGTTCAGTCCGCTTTTATCATTTTGACTTTTTTATTTTATTTTGATGATTGCAAACGAACGGATGTTGTGCGAGTGTGTGAACTAAAACATCAAGTTTCTTTGTTTTGACGCGATGCCTTGTTTTCTTCTTCCATTGCGTATCACGTGACGTTTTGGCATGTTGACTTCTTGATCTCTCAGACGGACGTTTCTGTTGCATGCGTTAGTGTTAGAGGAATAGGACACAAGGCCTCGGCTTTCTCTCAGGGCATGCCACCTTCAGCATGTCTTCAGAATAATGTAGCTCCTCATCAGGTAAATCACGTCAGGAAAACCTTTTTTCTTGCAAATTTCTACAGTATTTCATATATAAATTCTCTGTTTAACCCAAACTCTCAATGTAAATATACAGGAAATGTTTTGTTCAGTCTTGGCAATAATTCAGTTCTCCACACTATAAATAATTGTTATACTTGCAGAATAAATCGAAGGGAGATGGAAACACCATTGCAGCGTTTGTTTGTTCATTTCAGAAATGCATTGAATTTAATATGAAATCAAAACTTGATTTATGTTAATGTTCCTGAAGCAAGGTTCACTAAACATAAAAATAAAATAAAATTCTTAACTTTGATTTTATTCTATGACTCAAGGAATATATTGCGTTCCCAATAATATTCAATATTTTGTTCTTTAGTGGTTATTTTTTACATTTTGTGTTTAGATAAATATTTAAGAAAAATGTTCTTAAGAAAATATTTAAGAATGTTAAGAAAATATTTGAGAACTTAAAATAATTGTAAGAAAATATTGGAGAACTGATTTAAAAAAAAAAGAGATCTTTAAAAATTGAGAACTTAAGATGTTCTTTAAATATTCAAGAACTTAAATGTTCTTAAGGAGATATTTAAGAATGTTAAAATATTTGAAAACTTAAAAGATGTACTTAAGATTATTTACGAGAAAAAAATGTTAAAATATCTGAGATCTGAGAACTTAAGATGTTCTTAGAAAAACATTTAAGAATGTTAAAAATGTTAATAAAATATTTGAGAACTTAAAATAATTTTAATAAAATATTTGAGAACTTAAAATAATTTTAATAAAATATTTGAGAACTGAAAAGATGTACTTAAGATTATTTAAGAACTAAAAAATTTTAAAATATTTGAGAACTTAGATGTTCTTAGAAAAATATTTAAGAATTTTAAAAATGTTAAGAAAATATTTGAGAACTTAAAAGATGTACTTAAGATTAAGAACTAAAAAATGTTAAAATATTCAATAACTTAAATGTTCTTAAGAAAATATTTAAGAATGTTAAAATATTTGAAAACTTAAAAGATGTACTTAAGATTAAGATAATTTTTTTAAAATATTTGAAATAAATTAAAATTTAAATATTGGAGAACTGAATTAAAAAAAGAGATCTTTAGAAATTGAGAACGTAAGATGTTCTTTAAATATTCAAGAACTGGACTGTTATTAAGACAATATTTGAGAACTCAGATGTTCTTAGAAAAATATTTAACAATGTTAAAAATGGTAACAAAATATTTCAGAACTTAAAAGATGTATTTAAAATATTTACAACAAAAAAAAAATGTAAGAATATTTGAGAACTTGGATGTTCTTAGAAAAATATTTAAGAATGTTAAAAAGATATTTCAGAACCCAAAATTTTTACAATATTTGAAAACTTAAAAATATTACCAAAATATTTCAGAACTTAAAAGATGTACTTAAAATATTTACAATAAAAAAACTAAAAAAAAAAGTTTAGAAAATATTTAAGAACTTAATTCTTTAAAGATGTTTGAGAACTAAAAATATTGGAGAACTGAATTTTAAAAAGAGATCTTTAGAAATTGAGATGTTCTTTAAATATTCAAGAACTTAACTGTTCTTAAGACAATATTTGAGATTTAAAGTTTGCACTTGGAACATGCTTGTGAATTTACACTTTAATAACTTTTCACCATTCAATCAATGAACCTCAACCTACATTTCTTTGTTTAATATTTCCATCTGGAAAAAAAATAAGTAAATGAAAGTCTGGCAATAAAATATAACAGTTAAAATGACTGGAGCCATTATCATGAAGTGTTGCATTATTTCTTTATTATATAAACAAATACATTCTGTATTAAAATAAAACAAAATGATTGCAAAAAATTAGATTCATAAACAGATCTGTGCAAATTAAGTACAATTCACAAACCCTTTATAGTTTCTCCAGCCTATCGTTTAAAATGGATATGCATATACTTTTCATCAAGACCTTTTTTTCATGTCTATAATCAATCCTTCTGTTTATTCCTTTATTAACTGATGCACAAAGAAAGACCATGAAAATGTAAATCGAAAATGACATTTGATCGTCCAGCATTAAGTCACAGATGCAGATCAGTAAAACGGCATTATGAATAGTGGATTATTGAATTAAACGCTCGTTCACATTAAAATGAAAATGTGCTGTAAATGTGCTCACCCTCAGATCATCCGAGATTAGGATGAGTTTGTTTCTTCATCAGGTTTGGAGAAATGCAGCATTGCATCACTTGCTCACCAATGGATGTGAATGGGTGCCGTCAGAATGAGAGTCCAAACAGCTGATAAAAACATCACAATAATCCACAAGTAATCCACACCACTCCAGTCCATCAGTTAACATCTGGAGAAGACAAAAGCTGAAACTAATCTAGCATTAAGACGTTTTTAACTCAAATACAAGTCTATAATCCATAATAACGCTTCCTCCAGTGAAAAAGTGTTCTGGTCTGAATCAGGAGAGAAATCTGCACAGATCAAGCACTGTTTACAAGCCAAAACAGCTCTAAACAAACATGTGGATGGATTTTGATGTGAGAAGACAACAGGGGATGGACTTGGTCACTGGAGGAAGCATTATTATTGATTATGGGTATTGTTGCAGAAACAACTCCAGATGTTAACTGATGGACTGGAGTGGTGTGGATTATTGTGATGTTTTTATCAGCTGTTTGGACTCTCATTCTGACGGCACCCATTCACATCCATTGGTGAGCAAATGATGCAATGCTGCATTTCTCCAAATCTGATGAAGAAACAAACTCATCTACACCTGGGATGATCTGAGGGGGAGTCAATTTTCAGCCATTTTTAATTTTTAGGAGAATTATTCCTTTAACAGCACCGCTTTCTGTGGGCCGAAATGAGAGGAAAGCACTTCTATTGCATTGAATATTTCACCATGAATCAGAATCAAATGTCAAGCACTTAAAATTCAGTCTCATAACGGATAAATATGAAAGCCGTTTACGCATAATCACCATCTTCACTAGATCCGTTTAGGATGAAGGGCTTTGGAGCTCGAGCATGTAAACAGTCGCAGGATCATCTGTATAACACTGGAGTGAGTTTGAGGTCTCGCAGGAGAGGGAAAATAAATACTGGTCCGTAAGAAGGCAATGTGGTGATGTCCACCAGACTGTCATCCAGGAGGAAGCTGAACATGATGAAGATCAAACCTCTCGTAAGAGACGGCCTGCTTTTTTGCAGAAACTGAAATGTGAGATCTGGTGATACTGTGACGGTACATTCCTCCGGTAACAACATGAAGCAAGATTTCACACAAAATGAAGATTCTGTCATCATATTTCCAGCATCAAAAATTAAATAAAAATTTTGCTTATAAGAAAATAGTTGAAAAATATTTTTTTTCTACTTGGGAAAATTCTTATGTATTTTTTTTTTAAAGAATTTATCTAAACTAGTTTGCTGAATATTTAGTTTTTAAATCTCTTAGAACTCACTTTTTCATAGTTATGAAGTGATTGTTTTTATATTATTCTTAAATTGTTTTGCTGTATGTTTTAATGTTTTTTTTTGTATTTCAATGTATTTTTTTTTTTTTTAAAGCGCTTTGAGATGCAACTTTTAAAAATAAAGTTTATTATTGTTGTTTGCAGCATGCATCAGATCATGTTATTCTAAGGAAAAAAATCATTGTCAATTCTCTCGTGAATAAATTAAATGTTTTAATTGATTAATCTAATTAATGCAATGATTAATGCAAAAAATCCTCAATATAATAATAATAAAAAAACTGCTCAGGATCAGCAATATTATGTGTAATATTATGTGTAATTATGACAATTATATTTTGATGATAAATTGATAACACTTTACATTTGTACAGTAGTTAAACTAACAATAAAAATACCTCTAAAGCATCCATTAATCTTAGATCAAATTAATTTAAACATTTATTAATATTATAAAAATCAAAAGTTGCATCAGTTGCATCATTAATGCACTAAACTAATATGGAAAACGAACCACTGTATTTTTATTAACTAACATTAGCAAAGATTAATGTTCATTTTTCGTTCTTTATAGTTAATGAATGTTAGACTTTATTGTAAAGTGTTACCAATAAAATAATATACAGTTCTTATAACGATTGTTCAACATCTCATCAGCCAATTACAGTTAGTCTAAGTGGTGTTTTAACAAATTAATAACTCATAATTCATCACATATTGATCACAAGGCCTACATTTGATTATAAACTGAGCACAGATTATTAAGACCGAGTAAATGATGACAGAATTTTCATCTGAGGCTCAACTAGTCCTGTGAGGCAGTTCAACTGAGGATGATTTTAAACCTCGTTCTCATTTATTGCTCAAAACTCTATTTCTCTTCACTGTACGATTATGAAACATAATTAGTGAACAAAACCAGCTGCCAGTGAGTCTGTGCTGCTGTACTTTCTCATGTCATTTCATTCTGAGATTATGAATAATTGTGAGGATTTATGGTGTGTTCATGTCATCACGATTACCGGGTTTAACTAGTAAAAGCATAAAAACGGTGAACCTCATAATTAAGAATTGGAGAAACGAACTAAACGCGAGCACGTTCGAGCCGTCGTTTCGTGTTTTTATGATGGTTTTTGCAGCTTGAAAGAGCAGCGTGAACATCCTGAGAAACGTCTTCTTTTGTGTTCCCTCAGAAGAACACAGTCCTGCGGTTTGTGAGCGATGACAGGACGAGCGTTTTTGCCGTCCAGAGGGTTTAGTGAGGAGGATGCTGCAGTGAAATACTGTACGAGAGTTGGTGTGTTACTGAGAGTCTGGGCTCAGAGCGAGGTCTCGCTGGTGTGCGGTCGAGACGTCTCCTCCTCCAGAAGAGCGATGCGCTGTTTCAGCATCCGCACCTGCGTCTCGTGCCGCTCCACCATCGCCATCATCTGAGACTCCAGCTTCTTCAGCTTGTTCTGGTGCTTCTTCTTGGCTTTCTCGTACGCCGCCACCAGATTACTGCGCCGCACACAAACACAACACAGCTTTAACAGCCTGCTTGACTGAGACGCTCCACTAAAAACTGAATCATCCTGAGGCTCGACTCTTTTACTACTATTCATCTACTCTATAGTTTTAGTTCACTTAGTTTCACAAAGAAAAACTTTACGAACATCAAAAACATTGCCTTGGCAACTCACCGAAATAAGTTGAAGTGTTAAAATTACTAAAACTAAAACTCAAATAAATATAGATTATAGCTAAAAAGAAATATCAACAAATTTTAGATGGGAAAAAAAAATATGTAAAACACAAAAAATGTACTAAACCTACAACTGAAAACAAATAAAAGCTGAACAGAAACAAAACAATACTAATAATACTACTTATAATACAAGTTTAGAAACCTTGTCTTGGCAACTAAGTGAAATAAGGTACTAAGTTACTAAATTACTAAATCCGAGATAAAAAAAATGTAAGCTAAATAG